ATCTATTTAATAGTATATACATATTTATACATAGACGTATTGCGAATCGAACCCCCGAGGAACACTCGGCTATCGCGCGCGTGGCCCTTATAAAGAATAAATAACATCAAAATACAATAAATATAAAGAGAACAATAAATACAAATAAATAAATAAAACAACAGAGTGGTGCTAAAATAAACTAAAATAAAACATTCAATAAAAACCGCAGGGTTCTATAAAATTCTACTTTTAATTCCTCGCTATTTCTTTCTCTATATTCTTTATTCTTCAACTCTCTTTTCTTAAAAATCTTTTCTATAGTACCACCTGTTGCTCAATTTCACATATATATATAATAGCATGGAAGGGCCACGCGTGATCGTCCTCGCCTACCCGCTTCCAAATCGTGTACAGTGCCCTCGCTGTTACAAAGGCGGGGACGATTACGAACGCACGCGAGGGGAGTTCTGCGATCCGGCTCACCTAGTCAAACACTTAAATAAAATGCACCCGGGGGACACGGTCGCGTATGAGTGCTCGGTGTGCCGGTACCGGGGTAAATCCCGGTACCCGAAGAAAGACGTGGCAGCGCACTACGACCGCCTGCACTCGGTCCCCCGGACAGAGCCGGCGCGAACTTCCGGCACGGGAACGCCTCCGGTGCAGTCGCCCGCGCGCGGCAGGTGTGCCACCGAGGGCACAGGTGCGCGGGCGGGGGGGACGCGCGCGCTGAGACAGCTGACGCTGGCGGGCGCGCTGTCGACGAGCCGGGGCCGCGTTGCGCGGCCACCTGGGCGCCCCACGGCCTCCCCAACGCCATCGCCACCGCCACCCATCACCACCAGGGCCGGATCCCCCTCATTCGCGGCCGTTACCGCGGCTTCAAGAATCAGCCCCTTGACAGCCGGGGCACGCGGTACGGTTGCCACGGGGAGCACCGCACTGCGCAGCAGCAACAGCAGTAGCAGCAGAACATCAGCAGCAGGAGCAGCCGCCGCGAGGACGCGGACTCCTCCTGGCCAAGTGCCAGCCTCCAATGGTCCGCTGGCCAGGTCGACGCGCGCTCCTCTCCGCCCAACGCCATCACCACCGGCATACACCGAGGAGACGGCGGAGAGGAATAGGCGAATTTTGAGCCTAAGGCGCAAGTTGCCCGCCGCTCCACCACCACCTGCGGCTTCCGGCACTGAGGCCGGAGCCACGCGGCGGGCAACGCGCGCGTCGACCTCGATGCCGAGGGAGATTCCCACCAGGCCGGTGCGCAACTCCCCCCCTCCCCCGTCAACCCAGGCGACGGGGGGACCGTCCACCAGTAGGGGGGGAGAGAATAGAAGAATGACGCGTTCCACAAGCGTACCGGCCGTGAAGACGGGAACACGTCAGCGGACCACGCCGCCCCGACTATCACCTATCGGGGAAGCACCACCCTCCCGCCGGGTCGCCACGAGGAGCCAGGCGAAGAGACCCGGCGGGCAGCAGGAGAGAACACCGCCGCAGCCTAGGGTGGTGCTAAGGAGGCTGAGCACGCCGACGTCGCAACAGGGGGGCGTATCACCGAGGACGGTGTCGACGCAAACGCCCCCCTCGGCAGGCCAGACTTCCCCCATTACAGCTTCGTGGGAGGTCCTGGCCTTGCCCGCAACACCACCGAGCGTCGTTGCGACGTCGGCCGTATTAACATCAAATACCACGACGACGGTGACGACAACGGTGTGCCGCAGCCCCATTATGTCAACGGGGCTGCCCACACCGCCGGGGGGAACGTCGCCCCCCCCGCAGAGGACATCGCAGAGCCCTCAGTCCACCGGAGGGCTCTCTCCCGTCGTCGTGGAGGCTAGGAGGAGTCCTTTTACACCAACCACGATGCCAGCAAGGGCCATCGAGCGGCGGCCGGAAAACGCCAGAGTGGTGCTCCTCTCTTCGGACAGCGAGGGGGAGGAGATGGGAGGCCCGTGGAGGACGGTGCGCCCGGGGCGAGGGGCGAAGCGGCGCCGGCTTCTGAGCGGCGGCTCGCCCGGTGGCGAGTCATCGGCCGC